ATGGCATTGAGATATTTTTACTTCATCAAAATGTATATCATTATTAAGCATGGAAATACCCAAAAAATAGTTTTGTGTTCGTTGAATCTCATGCATGTTTTGAGCCACTTCAATGCTATTGTTTGTCCTCTTTTGACGTTCAATTTCACATGAATGGTGTATTTTTTATAAAATTTAAAACGAAAATATATGTGCACCTGCTTCAGTTGTAAAAAAAGGAATTGGCCAGAATTTTTGTTCTTATTCTTTGTAAATGTGTGGATAAATACGATGAATACATATTCACAGAACTATAATATTATTTTTACACATTACCAATAAACGCAAATATTGGATGCCAAGAGCTCAGAACAAAATTCTAAATTATTTTTTTTTAACTATGATTAGCTGAAATCATTGCATTGAAAATATAGGTTATGTATTTAATGAGGATTATCTGTTTGTTTCTGTATATGGTTTGTGCAGCTGCAAAGTTTTGTTGAGTCAGAAAGACAGAAATATACAGTGTATCCACCAGTAGAACAAGTATACACATGGACACAATGTTGTGATATCAGAGATGTAAGTTTATATACAGTTGAAATATTAGATAACATCACATGTGCCTACACTGCATTATTTTGACCTCCACGTAGAATGTACAACAGTGGGTACTGTAAAATACTTTATTTTCGCTGAAGGGGGATGATTCAGTGAAAATAAAATCTTTTTTTCTCAGATTTATATTCAACTCGTCAAAAATCAGTGAAAATAAACTTCATAAAAACATTTTTTTTCAGTGTTTCAGAAAATTGAAAAAGTTTTTATTATTATAACTATTGTTACTTTTTTCTGTTGATATTTGAGAGATGAGATACACCGTCATAAATATTATTTTGTGATGAGAGCGAGGCTTTGATTTGAATATAAACCATCAGAGTGAACTCTGTCACTATTACCTGCATATAGAATTAGAATTTTTAATGTATTGTTTATTCTAGGTTAAAGTTGTCATACTTGGCCAGGATCCTTATCATGGACCAAGACAGGCACATGGTAAGAGAGTAATTTAAATTATTGTATACATGTATTTTAAATCATTAATTTTGCACCAGGTATTGACTGAAAAATCTAAATATCATTTTCACACAATACCGCACATTATTATACTTTGATTTCTTTATTTTATGTGAATCATCACAAAACTGAACATAAAAAGAGGATGAGCCTGAAAAGTAGGGATCAAGACCTATGGGGGCAGCGGAGAGTACAGTGTGCGTACTCCAGGATGTGTACTCATTATAGTTGTGGAATATGCAAATATTGATGTGGGGATCACCGTTCATCATCAGACGAAAATTTGAATCTGTAGTGTTAAATTTGTGAACAATTTTCAATGTGCACATTTGGGAAGACTGTTGCCATGGGGCATTCTAGAGTGAAAAAAGACGCCATCTCGCTAACTCGTCTTTAAACACTATATAAAAATAACACTGGCCAAAAACTAAAATCACAGTTAAAACAAAAGGTCAATTTTGATATCACAACTGCATAATTAGTCCCAGTTTGGACGAAGTACGAAAATGGGGACTATTAATTTGTGTTTGTTCTGTCCGTCCATCCGTATGTACGTACGCTGTATCTCGGACACCCATTGATGGATTTCATTCAAACTGTACATAATGTCTTACATATGCGTGTCTTTATGAACGGAGCAAAAATGGCCAACTGGTGGCCATTTTGGATGTAAAGTTTGCTATTTCTGATACCTAAACGTGTCCGCAGCAGTTTCGCAGAGATGACTGGGCCGATTTGGATCAAGTTTGTATGATGATCATCATACATATTAGGTTGTAGGTGCACGTCATTTTTTTTTTGTGATTCGAACAAAAATGGCCAACTGGCGGCCCTCTTGCTTTTCATGGTACCCATGCTATTTTATCTTGAATGCAATGAACGTTTCTCTTTAAATTTTGTACAAAGATAGTATACCAAGAGATACATCTGCACCAACATGATTTTTGTGATTCAATTCAATATGGCTGGCCGACCGACGCCCAATTTCCATGTAAAAGCGCTAAATCATCATTTTTACATGTCCGGATTTGTTTCTTGAAGACGACTAGGCCAATTTAAATCAAAGTTGATATGTTGATCATACATATTGGGTTATAGGTGCACGTCATATTTTTTTCGTGATTCGAACAAATATGGCTGGCTGGTGGCTATTTTGTTTTTCATGATACCCATGCCTACTTTCCAATGAATGCAATGAACATTTCTGTTTAAATTTTGTACAAAGACAGTATATCAATAGATACATCAACATGAACATTATTTTTGTAATTTGATTCAATATGACTGCCCAATGTCCAATTCTTGTGTAAAAGCACTATTTTTTTATAGTTTGACAACTTTGATTTATTTTTTATATTTTTTTACAAATCCATCTCTTATTAATGGTTTCAATCTAATCTCAATGACTTCATCAGCATCAAATTGATATGTCAGATCACAAAATTTTGGACGGGGAGTGTGTCATTAACAATGACTTGTTAATATGAGTATTTTAACAGTGTTGCCTTTCATATCATAAATCAATAAAAACCCATCCCTCCATTTATTCATATATCTCTAACCAAAAAATAAACTTTATGGTAATTTTATACACAGGGCTATGTTTTAGTGTACAAGAAGGAATCCGGCCGCCACCAAGGTGAGTCACGTTCATTCTGATATCAAATAGCATTCTCTAGTCATGAGTATGCATGAGGTCATTTGACAGATACAGTTGATAAAAAAATGCAGTTTTGCTTGAATGTACCATAATCATCTGCTCATGTTTGACACATTTAATCTGTTTGACACGTTGAACTAGATTGTAGGATTCTATCAGTTTTATATTTAATTAGATCTTACAATCATCACAAAATGATTGTTTATTCATCAGGAATATGTACGCATTCATGTGATGTACCAGCTTTGTTACGTTATATTTATCACCATGCCAACAAGTGGTTGCAAAACCCATAATGCCGCACCAATATTATATTCATTTTTCTTTTTTTCAGCTTAGTAAATATGTACAAAGAACTTAGCAGTGACATAGATGGATTTCAGTCTCCCGAACATGGTTACTTAAAGGGATGGGCCAAGCAAGGTCAGGCAACAATGAAAATTAACAATTAAATTTGTCCTCTGCACAGCGCCCTCTGTTGACAAAGTGCAAAATTTGTGTTACCTGAATTATTTTAGAGAAGAAAAACATTTTTTCACAAGGCATTATTGAAAAAGTATCGATCGATCAAATTTTCTATTATTTTGAACTCTCTAAAGTAAAAAAAATTGTCCATACTTTATGAAAAAGCTTTAAACAAGACTTGTGGCTAATGTGAAGTTAAGACTGATTGGTCCTGCTGTTTCAGAGCAATATCCCTCGGAGGCGGACATTCAGGCATTTTCACGTCATGGCAACCATCAAGCTGAAAACAAAGGTCGAAAACTCTCAGAAAATAGTACTTTGGGATGATTGTTGAGACTCCCCTGAATAGTGTAACAAGATTAGCCCTGCGTGTGTAACGCATATAAATTTGACTGTTCAGGATTACTTCAAAGTTGAGTTCCTGTTGTTTTCTCAAATTTTCACTGGCTCTTCGCTCGACCCATAGAAATACATGGTACATTGGTGCACGTCTTAGCAACATGGAACGCCTTGTGACGTAGCTCCACCCCTGAGAATATGAACGAGTACTTGTTTGACAATCAGATACAAGATGACTGAATATCAATCATTTTAATCATCTGACATGTTGATGTTCAAACTATATTGCTATAAACAAAACTGTACTTCTTAAATTTGATAACTGACTGGGACTGTGCCATGCATGACATTGTTCACTTTACATTGCTATTGCAGGCGTCTTGTTGTTGAATGCTGTGTTAACAGTCAGAGCAGGTGTAGCAAATTCTCACAAAAACAAAGGTTGGGAGACCTTCACGGACGCAGTCATTAGTTGGTTGAATAAAAACTTAGATGGTGTGGTGTTCTTACTATGGGGATCATACGCTCACAAGAAAGGTGCTATTATTGACAAGGTAAAGTGAATATTATTCATACTTGTCTGAAATCCTAAATATGTAGAGACCTTTTAACCCTGAATGACGAAGTCAATCTTTGTCGTTTTTCATGAAATAAATCCACATAATTTTGTTCGTTGTATAGGAAATGCTTTGATCAAGACTTGTGGCCAATGGGCAATTATGTACATTCAATCAAAAATTAACAATGAAATTATAGAAAAAAAAACATGAAAATGTGTTGAAATGATTACTGTCAAATACTTTATTTTCACTTGGAATTATTTTTCGCTGAAGGAATGATCAAGTGAAAATAAAATTCAGCGAATATCTTTTTTTCCTATATTTTACATTCAACTCATCAAAACTCAGTGAAAATAAGTTACATACAAAACACTAAAAGTCTTTTCAGCAAAAATTTATTCCAGCTAAAATAAAGTAATTTACAGTACTTGACAAGTTTCACAATTGAATTCATACACATTTATATTTTTCATGGCTAATTCCATCAATATCTCTTGATATAAAGATCATACTTTTTTATTTACA